GGAGGTATATCTTTGTCAAAAGGTGCGGCAACACAATTCGAACGGGGCGACGAACTCAGCCACTTGTAGCCAGATATGGCACGATCTTTGGCGAGGTTGTGCAAACATTCCTCCAGGGCTCAAGGCAATGCGCCTCCGCTCTCCTACTTCTCGACGAGGGGCCAATGAAGGACATTTCGACAAAAGTGATGATCGCGACTACAGCACAAGGACACCCTCAATTAGTGCAAGGAGTTCAGTTGGCGAGATTAGTAGGGTGGATATTGACAGTAGTGATGCGTAGAGTATTGAATCTGCCATTATTTAGATAATGTATATCATCTTGATGACTGAATGTATTTTCTAAAATTAAAAAGGTATTGTCTACATATTCACCTCCTGTCAGGCAAGTACAGCATATCGCGCCGAACCGGGCATCACAACATAGTCGTCTACTCTGTACTCTACAGAGTAGATGTAACGGGGTACATACCCCAAGTGTACCCAAGTTACATGAAGAGTGACCAGTCACTCTTGTAATACCTGGTACATGGTACCAGGGGCTCTAGGAGCCGATCATTGCATATCTACATAGCTTCATTATAGGTGAATTATAGTTTGTATTAGAAACTGAGTTAAGTTTACCTATAAATAAAAATCAGTCTTAAGACCACAAGATGGTAAAGAGAGCGTCAAATGTACCAAGGAGCTGAGGAGCATTCGCCCCTACCCAGTCAATTATTTCTTTCCAATTCATGCCCCCAAAAAACCATGAACATATCAAGTAAGCAGACCTTCAAGGTAGACTTGACTCAGTCCTCCGTGTATTCACGAGCTGTCAGTAGTTTGGTTAAGGACTCGCTTGCTTTGACACCAAGCCGACGCTGAGATTTCCCACATCGAACGTCCTCCACTTCCCCGTCTCGACCTCGTTTCCGTAATGCACTCTCCAGATCGTGAAATGTTTTGTACTTGGCTGTCAGACCCACGGTCTTAGCAGCACTCAGTCCAGGAGCTTGCAAGAGCATCCGCTGATAAATCTCGCGCACGGTAAACTGGTTCTTTTTCCGAAACTGCGAGTTGAAGGGGGCGAAAGTCTGGAGTGGTTTACAAAAAATCTTTGCGAACTCGTCCTTGTCGAATCTATTTGGAGGAAACAAACGCGAAGTCTCTGGCTTCGCTACTCGCGGATTGGACGGAAATTTCGCCAGTAGCCGGGCGTACACACGAGCAAGGAACGTCACAGTTTCGTCGGCATTCTGGCACTGCTGAACGAAGAAATTGTCCTGCATCTGAGTACGACCCATCGCCGTGTGAAGGCCGCTTGTACGCACTGTGGTTATCTGCGTCAGCGATCCCTCGATTAGATAAATAACGTGCACGTCACCGCAGTTCTCACGCACAGTAGCCAGACGCGTCTTCTGTTCGAAGAAGCGACGGTCGATGATACTGCCCGACAAATCATGTACTTCCTTCCGCTCCACGATGACGTTCAGTACGAATTCCTGCGTCTCTCCAACGATGCGCGTCCTACGCGCTATCCACTGAACGTCGCCCACACCAAGCACGCGCACTTCGCAGTTGACATTCCGTTCCAGTAGTTTTCTCTCCAAAATCCGTGGATTTCGACGCTCGATGATTTCACGATGATCGAGTAGTAACACTAGCTCCCACGTGTCCGTCTTGCGGATCAAATCTTCAGGTACAGTGTGTTTCCTGGCCGCGACTTCAGGCTCGGGTTCTGGAACTCGACAAGCATTTAACTCAGTCAATATATCTTCGTCTGAATCTTCCAATTCAGCGTACGTCCAGCTAGGACTTGATGGCCGTTGCCTCACTACTCCAGTCCGTTTCTTCCTTACGCTGCCTGAAGCAGTAGTACTTGATCCAGCTGGAGTAGTACCTGAGTCTGTAGTAGTAGTAGTTGCAGTCCCAGTAAGTGATCCTGGACACAATTCTGCGCTTCGTTGACCCTTGTCTGTAAGATAATAGAAACCCAAGTTGGACCTCTTGACCACCTCGTGCGTACCGCTCAGCGACGCCAAACACGTCCGTAACTTAGCACTGTTGCCTTCATACTACACCAACAAGTATTAATCATCCTCACACACGAATGCACCAACAGAACTCAATCTTATCCTACCCCAGTATCCAGCATCCGCTGTAGCAGCGCGTCACTGGACATCGCGGCGTCCTCATCCACCGCTTGAGCTTCTTGCAGCACCAGCAGCACGAACCACGGCTCTGTAGTATAGTATAATACATTCAGTATAGCTCACTGTCCAGAATGAAGCAACCCAACAGTACGTACGCTTGCGGTAAGCAGGTGCGTAGTCTCTCGCAGAGCGGTCTGGTGTCCCGGCTGAAGTGTTCCTCGTCGATATCTCGGCCTGTACGCGCGCTACAGGAGCTGAAGGTGGGGGTGGTGCACTCGACGCCGCGCGGTCATCTGCCTCTAGTAGACCTCTCTTTCTTAAAATACCGTGGATCTGGTTGGCCATGTAGTTGCCAATATGTCGTAGCTTCTTGGCCTCTGCGACGCTGCGTAATGGTTCAGGGTAAGCGCGCACGGAGGTGATGGCTCGCGCATAGTTGGACACCAAGTGGGTAGACTCACGCACTCGCAGCTTGAGCGTCAGCAGATCTTCCACCAGTGGGTCATTGTCTGCATGCATGCAGCCCTGAGCGCTTCGCAGTGCCATTCTGGTATGTCGTTAAGTTCGCATTAAAGTACTGCGAACCTATTCTTAACTTCGTAATTTACGAACCGTAAACTACAGTGCGAACTTAAGCTTGTACGTGCATTTTTGAATCTACGTCATTTGAAATACTGTAACACCGAGGAAAGCCGACTAACTGATGCGACGGTTTGACGCGGACAAGGAGAACCGGGTGGCAACCACCTCCAGCTACTCGCAGCGCGCACCGCTCTCTTCTCGGCAGCTGAAACCCGGGGGCACCACCACAGCCTCTGGCGCCATGAAGCGGCCGCACAACCAGACGGACGGCTCCAAATACCCTCGCAAAGCTGGAGGAGACAGAACCGCCGCATCTCGACGGCCTCACGGCGACGCGCCGTCGTATCTTCATGGCACAGGTACCGGTCTGTACAAGTCGACTACCAGTTCTTCAGCCGCCAACCGGTTAGGCTCCGCTAGCTCCCAGACCTCAGCAGCTTCTGCCAAGACGGAGACAAAGACTGACGAGACGTCGTCCGGTAAGAAGACATGGAAACTCAGTGACTTTGAGATCGGCAAACCATTGGGAAAGGGCAAGTTCGGCAATGTGTATCTTGCAAGAGAGAAACAGTCCAAGTACGTGGTGGCCCTCAAAGTGCTGAACAAGCAGCAGCTCATGAAGTCCAGTATGGAGCACCAATTGCGTCGAGAGATCGAGATCCAGTCCCACCTGCGCCACAAGTCCATACTGAGACTGTATGGCTACTTCTACGACAGCAAACGGGTGTATCTGATCATCGAGTATGCGCCACAGGGAGAGCTGTACAAGAAGCTGATGCGTGCCGGTCGCTTCTCGGAGAGACAGTCGGCTCTGTACATTCAGGAGATGGCACGTGCTCTTATCTACATGCACAGCAAGCACGTGATCCATCGAGATATCAAGCCTGAGAACCTGCTCGTTGGCTTCAATGGCGAGCTCAAGATCGCTGACTTCGGGTGGTCAGTACACGCTCCGTCTTCTAGACGTACGACGCTGTGCGGTACACTGGACTACCTGCCGCCTGAGATGATCGAGAACAAGCCACACGACGAGAATGTGGACGTGTGGACACTCGGTATCCTTATGTATGAGTTTCTAACCGGTGCGCCTCCATTCGAGACCGAGAACACCAAGGAGACGTACCGCCGCATTGCGCACGTGGATCTTAAGTTTCCGAGCTACGTGTCGTCCGAGGCTCAAGATCTGCTGGTGAAGATCCTGCGTCACGACCCGCAGCAACGGATACCACTGGAACGCGTACTGGAGCACCCGTGGATCTTGCAGCACTGCGAGTCGTAGTGTACAGATACAGTAGTGAGTGTAGTCTATTCCTTGCACATTGTGTCTGTGTCATACAGCGCTTCTTTTAATCTCGTCACGACTGCTTCTGCTCTGGATGTTTAAGAGCTTCAGCGGCTTGCTCTGCCTTCACTTTAGCCTGCTGCATCTCCTCGCGATGCGCGTCTGCGATCTTCTGGTAGCTCTTGGGCAGTTCGAACTGCTTGGCAAACCCCTCGACCTAAACAGTAGCAGCGTTGGTACACAAAGCATGACTTGTAATGCTGGCAGCTAATTACCTGCTCATCAAGCGCCTTCTTCTGCTGCCCCACCGTGTTCTGGAACGACTCAAATACTTCGGAACGTTGTGCGTCACTCTCGGCGGACTGCAGCATTTCCTTGTTGAGTCGACGCAGCTCCGTCAGCTTGGTCTGGACTTCTGCATTGGTAGCGCGGCTGCGCTCGTAAGTGGTACGATTGGTCTGGCGGATGATGTACGCCGAGTCCTCCACGATCTCACGCACCATACGCGACGTCTGGCCACCCATGGTCGATAGTGGTGATGATCGCAATAGAGTGCTGGGTAAGTTGAGATGGCAACATGAAATAGTGTGATGAAGTGTATCGTACTGGAATGATTGCCACCGTTACTGGTGTGGCGTACATTACCGAGAGTGCTGGAGCAAGATGGCGGCGTATCTGCAGGAGATGATGAACCGTAAGTGACGACTGTGAGCGCTGTAGAGGGCGGATGCAGACCCTAGTTAGTGATTTATGGAGAGGGTATCGCGCTGCTTTCGCTGGTGCTGGTTTTGCTATCTAACTGTTGCTGCATGCTGTTTAAAGAAACCATTTCGGTCATCACCAACGACGGCAGGAACATCATTGTACGGCTGCTTCGCTTTAATACCACGTTTCAATGTTCAGCTACTAACTGTGTTTTGCGCACGTATGGCCGGGCTGGTGCAGGGCGTGCTTAAGGGCTTCGACCAGTGCGTGAACGTGATCCTAGACGATAGTTTCGAGCGCGTCTTCTCGCTCAGGGAACCGGTGGAGGCGGTGGAGCTTGGGCTTTACATCGTGCGTGGCGACAACATGTACGAGCCGCTGTGTTAGATTAGCGATGCAATTGAGGTGCTGACACTAACGTTGTTTGTTTCTGCTGTGTAGTTCCGTGATCGGAGGAGTCCCTGAGAACATTCGAGAGCAAGTAATCGATGATCAGACACGTGCAGCTCCGCTGAAGCCACTAGTTCATTAATGCGCATAGTAATTTACTCGATTTTGGCTCTGCAGCGAGCTGAGGTCCAAGGGGATTCCGAAGGATGAATTTGTTTTGTTTTTTTTCGTCGTTCTGGAAAAAGCACAAGCATTATCAAACAATGCTGCAGTAATACTGCATAGCATTAGTTATGAATGGAGCCGGCTGCGTGGCGGACCACTGCAATTTGATATAGCGTGGCGTTTGCTATACCTTCCTTAAAAAGGCAGGAAACAATTCCGCCATAATGATGTTTCGTACTTAGTACATTCACAAACACCTTGACAAAAAAATGCTGAAGCAGAGCCAAGTGCTTGTCCGCCGTGTGGGCGGACTTCGCCGAGCGTCCACCGCCTATGTTCGTCCAAACTGGCTGGAGAAAGGGTGCGGTGATGTCCCTGTGCATCCGCAGGCCCAGGACGCGGAAGTCAGCGAGATGCTGCGCGGCGGACACGCCTTGCAGATCGCCAGTGCCAAAATGCTCGATGCCAAGGTACGCATCACTACTAAGACACTAGCAACAGTGACATATATTTTTATTTTATTTTCTGTATGCGTGAAAACAGGTAGCGGACTTCCACGTAGTCAAGACTTACTCTGCTGCACATTTCGAGAAGCTCAAGGTGGGAAAAAAAATCAGGTGCCAGGAGTACTAGGATACGTACATAACGATGAATCTTCTTTGTAGGAGCTGCGCGACAGCGAGAAGGATGCGGTGCAGCGTATTGAAGACTCTGTACGAGCGAAAGACCTGAGGTTTCGTCCGAGTCTAGTGATCCCAGCGGTCGAGCTCTGCAGTTTTGTAGTCGGTGCGTCTGCCATTGCAGAGGGGGAAGGGAATGTGTTGTTGCATTATTAGTGTTAACTACTGCACTGCAGGCTGCGGGCTAAGCCCATTGGGGGACACGATCAGCACGTCGTACGTAACGGGCGTCAAGATGGCGGTGAGCGATTACTACAACGACCAGATTCGCGAGATCTATGCCAGCAAACCCGATATGGTCGAGCTCAAGGAGGTATGCAGCATAAGTATCTATCCCATTACAAAGTGTGACTGAGCTATTATGGGGTTTCCGTGTGCACAGTTGTTTAAGGTTCAACGTGACGAGGAGCAGGAGTTCGTAGATGCGCACACACCTGACATTTTGGACCCAAACAAGGGCAGCCAAGACCCCGTAACCACGTTTGCCAAGGCTTCTCTGAAGATGTTGGTTCAAGTAGCCAGGACTGTGTAAGAACTGACAACTGAAGACAGTCAAATTGCTGAAGATTCGTGTTGAAAAGCTGAATAAAGGGCGGTAATGATCCTATCGGTTATTTCTCTAAGTCACTCTGTGGACTTGAAGAGCAGTACATATTGCTGGTCGGCACGAAAGAAGAGCAGGTACTGCGTGTCGTAGGCGATGGAGCATCCGAATCCTTTGCCCACGATACAGTGCCACGTCTGTCCGTACTTTTGGTCGAAGTATTTCTTCATGTCCGTAGCGATATCCTTCTCGATAGCATTGGGAGTTGCCTGCAAGATCTGGATCAAATGCGCCACAGCCTCGTCCTTCATGGCAGTACCCAATTCCAGTCGCAAGATCGTGATCTTCGGTACTTTACCAGACCCTACGCCGTCTTGCACTTCGGCCGGAGCTCCATCTTCACCAGCAACCTTCGATGCGTCCGGGGGTCCCATTGTTGAAGTCTAAAGAGAAGTATGCGTCGCTTCACATCACACTGGTTTTTATATCCGTTATTTATCACTAAACGTTCAGTTAAGTTTTTCTATGGATCGGTTAACAGTTAAAACGCTGGCTACGAATAAGACTCAGACACGCTTGCGCTGGTCGGACGAGCTCTCGCCACTCCAGTACTTGCGCTTGACCCGGTCAACAGTCCGCGTCGAGTAGAGCTCGAAGAAGCTTGAGGCTGCGTCAGCGATGCACGAATAGCCAGGGCCATTGACGTCGCGCGTGTAGATGAAGATGCGGAAGCAGAACGGGAACGTCTGCGCCGGCGCCGAGCGTGTGGCCTTGCGCTTCTTCTTGAGCATCGGCTGCACCTTCCACACATCAGGCAAGAAGAACCACGTGCTTCGAATAAAGCGCTTGTCGGCCTTCTTGGACTCCGGCGACTCTGGTAACAATACACGCCGCTCTTCCATCTCGACCGCCTGGAAGCATGTGAACCGGAACTGCTCGAATACCGCGGCGTTCGGGAAGGACGGAGGCGCATTGAGTTCCTCCAATAGATTGGTGGTTTCTTGCTGAGGCACACGCTCGAATCGACCGAGTACGAACAATTCTCGAGCATTATTGCCTCCAGACGGCACGCCTCCATGTTCGTGCTTCATCTGCTGCGTCGACGCTGCTGGCAGGAACTCGGACGCGTCTGTGAAGGCGTGACAATACACTGGACCACGACACACACCGACACTGGAATGTTTGCGGTTGTTCATCTTCATGGAGTAAAAGTCGTGGTGTTCGGGACACGACGGGAAGCACTGCAGATTCTTTCGCCCATTCTTCCAGTAACAGTCATTTAACGCTGTTAGCAACTGGATCCGTGCAGACTGGTTGGGAGACACTGGATTCGTGGATGGGAGCGGCATTGGCTTCATCGTCATCGGGTTATTAGGCTTGGGGATGGCTGCTGGGAGCAACATGCTCCCTGTTGAGGGCAGACGTTGGTTGAGCGTGGAAGAGCGCAGTATGCGCTTAATAGTGTTCCCTTGTTCAGCCGCGTGCTGGTTTTGACTCTTTACTGACTCGGTGGGTGTGGAGCTCGCGGTTGAAGGCGTGGAATAGTGACCGTGTGCTTGGTTGGAGCTCCAGTGGGAATCTGAGGGGAACGATTCATGGCCCTGCATCAGTCGATACAGCGAAGGTCCAGCTGAAGGCAGCGGATGGTGTTGATACGAAGGTGTGTAATCGTGAAGAGGAGTCGACATGGCGCTACTGGTGGCCTGAGTGGCCGAGTCGAAGTAGAGATAGCCGTTGGGTGCAGGTGGGTGCGATGTTACGTTATAGAATGGTTGGCCTTGTTGCTGATGATAGTGTTGATTGTCGTAGGTGTCAGCGGGGGGTCCAGACCACGTACTCATGTCTTCAAAAAGCAATTCCGAAGGCTCCAGTGTATGTGGCAGACATGGAGTCATAGTCTCCGGAGAGTGAGCACTCGAGGGACAAGATCCGGCATCACCAGCGAGTTTTCCAGTGGCAGAGTAATCCACGCCGCTAGAGTGAGCACTTGGAGGGCAGCTGGCGCTAAATGTGGCACTGATCTCGGTTGTCACGGCACTCAACGCTTGTGAGCGAGGAGTGAGGCCTCCGAGAGAAGGCAGACAGAAGCCATTCTCCGTCTTGCCACCCAGGAACCAGCTGGAACCAGGATATGGCATCGAGATGACTGGCATATCGTGTTCTTCACTCTCCAACGCGAGCTTGTTCATGGGTTCATTCAAGTGACTGAGAGAAGAACTGGACGAAGACATGGACATCCCCGTTGTGCCTCCACTGCCGTAGTCGCTCTCCAAGTACGTCTCATCGAAGGAATTCGACGAGATGGCGTGCCAATCCGAGTGCGAAGAAGAAGAAGCGCTTCCTTCACAGCTCACAGGTATCGTCAACGCACCATTCATGGCGTTATTTCCACCTTGAAGCGTCGAATCCGCGTATCCAGTCGACCCCCCGCCGCTCTGGGTGCCTTCCAGCAGCACGTCTTCTCGCTTCAAGCTCGGCCACTTGCCGTCGCTGGAGATGGAGCACCGCAGCTCCGCGTTGTTGTCTCCATCCCTCTCAAACCCGCGTGGACTCGCCATCTTCTTATCTAATGAATGGTCTCCGAAAATCCGGAGCTGGAGTGTCGACGAAAACGTCATGACGCCCTTGCTCACACGGGTATGACAAAGTGAAGGCTCGCTCTTGTTGAATCGGTCAACGCGTGGTGTGAGCGCAGCGTGTGTGTGGAGTTACGAGGTGACTTTGGGGCCGCTGCGAAACTTCATTAATGTGCCGGAACTTTGGGATCGAGCAGGCGATCGGTTGGCCCGCGTGGCAAACGGGTGGACTGTGCTTAAAGTTCTGTGATTTCTTTCTAGTTTGTTTGGCGTCTGCACGACATTTTGCCGCCGTGTTGTGTCGCTCCTGGCACTGCGAGTATATCTGGAAGGTGATTTTTTCACGGTTTTTCTGGGTTTTCGTTGAAGCTGCTACAATCCGACTAAGCTCACTTGAAATTCAAGGAGGTTTCGAGGGCGGGGCGACGCTCGTGGTGACGTGCCGCCCCTTATCTGGTTCGCTAGAAATGACTAGCGAGAAAAGCGGGACTTTCGAAAATCTACTGGGTTCCAGAACCCGGACCAAGGCGAGGTCAGCCCTCCTCTTTACGAGACGGGGACTGCAGCTCAAACATGGAACAACACAAGCAGCTGGACGACGCTAAGACTATTGCGGTTTTGGTATAGTACATGATGGGCGTTTTTGAACGAAAGAAACGTTGATGCGGATGACAAAGAGCCTGTCATTCCCGCGAGCTATTGTTCTGGAGCTTACAGCGTGAGTTATACTGGACGGAGACTGCCGTGGCGCCACGAGTACGGGGTCAGATGACCGAAATCGGTCTGATCCGCTGCAGAAGTTGCATAGAAACACTTGCTTGCCTTTGTCCTGGTCTCAGTTAGCGTGCAGCGTTATCAGTTTTGGTGGCGGACCGTGACGAATTGACGTGTTTTTTTTTTTTTTAATAATTAGCAGAACTGGAGGCTCGACCAGATCTTTGCAGCGCTGGGACGCCTACACTGGGAACGGGACTTGGAGCGATGGTGCTTGTTCAAGCGCAAGTAAGAGCTGGAGCCCGCGACCCTGGGACTTGACGCGAACCCGACTGGCTCGATGGATGTGTGGAAAGTTTTCGGCATTGCTATTGCGGACACCTTCCAGCGAGCGATCCCGATAAGCAGTTGGTGCACTTGTTGGGGGTCTGCGAGTCGATCTATGCTTCTCTACCTGCGATCGTGCGTTAGACCTTGTCACTATGCATGCGATCTTACAGTGAGAGCCATTCTACGATTGGGTTGATTCAGACGTTCGCTCCAATCGACAGGTGCATGCTCAATTTGTTGAACTTGGCGTTATCGACTACGAATGATGTTTACAGTTTTGCTTTTCGTCATTCGTCATGCCAGAGAGATGTTGTCTGGTCGCAAAGGTCCTCTATTGACATTAGGGCCAGTACTGTGACTTAGGAGAAATCCATCGTCGAATTAATTAATCAGCTTGAAAATGCGCTTGTACGGGGAAGATCACGACGTGGGGCGCGTCATTTATATCTGCCATCATGGGATGTTTTCCTAATGATAGGATATTGAGACTGATGTCAAAAATTTAGAATTCATTCAAATACACCTTGGATCCTTGATCCAGTACCTTTTGAAACGTGAATCCTGATATGTTCGGGAGCGTCTAAGCCGATCGATTCGTTGCTGCGCATTCTCTCAATGATCGCTGTAAACGAGCCCTCACTCGGTTTTTGTGTAAGCACTTTCGCGTCGTTTCAACGACCCTCTGGGTAGGCTCTCTAACCTAGATGAAACGTGTCCGATCGACGGCAAAATGAACTATCCACACGCAGTAACTCAAAGATACAACAGCAAATAACTTTCGGGTTGATCCGTTTGTGTAAGTTCCAAAACACACGAACACACCTG